TTATACAAATTCCATGAAATAAGCCGACGATACAAAATAGCGACTGACTTATTCTAGTGTTGAGAGCGAAGTGAAGTTGCTCGCGGCAAGGCTTGAATGCTGAGCAACTTAGTGCAGTAATAAATGCAGTAAATAATGGCAGAAGCTTCCGTGAAGTTGCTATAAGTTTTGCCATTTGTGGTATTATTGTATGTGTTATACAATAAAAGTTTTATTTACATTAATAGTATAGGGTAAACTGTGCAAATACCGGTCAGTGGGTAATGGCGGTCATCCCGATTGTGCGAAATCTATTCAATCTGGCAACCTCCTATAACTGCCAACGTGTCGCTACACTACTCTCTATTCAGATTGCTGACGATCGTTGAGTTGGCGCAAACCATTGTCATAGAAATATTATTAACCTGTTTTCAGTGTTTTCGATTTTATTTTTATGCTGAGTAATATAAGGTCTTAATTCATTTTTATTCACTTGTAGATCTTAAAATTGGTTACAGTTGATTATAATGACGTTAGCTGCCTATTCCTTTTTTAAAGATCAATATTTTAATACATGTTTACGAGTAAAAAATTCTAAGAAAAAAAATGCCAATAGGAGGCAATGCCGGTCAGTTGACCGGTATTACCCCCATGCTATAATTTATACCCTATACTATTAATCCTTAGGGATTAATCCATCCATTTTTCGACATTGCAAGAAAGAATAAAAAATAAAAATCGTCAAGGTGTCTCATTAGGTAGAAAATCAGTATTTTCTGCCGAACAAGAAGCTAAAATAGCCACACAAAAAAAATATTTATTTAAATTTTTTATGGCGTAACAGCAATAGGTAGAACTGAAAAAATTAGCATTTGGGTTTACAAGATAATTTTTCTTGTAATAAAACACCTTTTTCTTGTAATTGGCATTACAAGAAAAAGGTGTTTGATTCTAGTTCTTTGGAATCGGATATTGATATATCATGTGATAACAGTGACGATGCATACGAAGATAGATGCCTGGTTTACAGCAAGTTTGGCAAAAACAATGAATTGTGGTATATATTTACCGTTTGCTCACGATGGGCTTATTCAGAGTGCAGTGGATGGGATTCTGCAGAGAGTTATACCTGCGATGACTGTCAACTATTTTTACATTAAAACACATATTTTTGTTATTTTTTGTTTGTTTTACAATAAAAAATATTTTTTTACCTTTCTTACTGATTTACTTAAATTATGACCCATTAAGCCACATTCGTTAATCGTTTTATAACAAAAAAATGTTAAATATATATTGATTTTTATTTTAATAATAACAGAAACAAATTGACTGGCATTACCCACACTCATGACCGGTATTGTCCATGTATGGTGACAATACCGGTCAAAGATACTTTTTTATGTTTTGTCTCTGTCAAAGACAAAAATTTTATATTTTTGAAATTAAATGTATCTTGCAATAAGTTAAAACCCCAAATTACGGATTGACGGCTTAAATTTGGTTCACAGAGTTTTACTTTTTTTATATTAAATTTTCTTCTTAGGTGACCGCGATTTGCACATTTTACCCTACGTTCCGAATATGAAAATAACAATTTGGGAAAGTATGTTTATACTGAACAGTGACAATCGTCTTCGTGGACATCAATTTAAGCTAAACAAAGGCCAACCATATTGCTTCTCTGTTCTAAGAATGAAAAGTCTTAAAAATCTTAATTTTCAATAGGTAAACAGTGGCGCACCCAGGGTGGGTTTTGTGGGTTAAAACCCCCTCAGGTCAATATTCCGACACTGTTACTCACAAATTTTAAGGACTCAAAATGCATAAAAAATATGCATGGTACCTAACCAAATTCTACTACTCCCCCCTCCAAAGGAAAATTCTAGGTGCGCTACTGTTTGTAGGTAATAATTTATATTAGTGCAAGCAAGCCAGGGGCCGACTCGTATTCGCTTCCCTCTTGAAATGCTTTAGCGGACGATGGTTCAGACGCTAGCCCAGGACAGAAAAATAAAAAGGCTAACGTAGTTTAAAATTCTAAATGAAGTTAGATGGAATCCGCTGGTGTAGTTGATCGAACTATGAGCATTACTGCAAGAGCGTCTACGTGATACTCAACAGATCACTACCGGAAAGGCGTATCCTAGTATCCTCCTAATAAACCGGTCTATATATAAGTTTATATTATAGATTACATAGTATTAAATAGATTATATTATAATTATTATTGTCAACTATATTGCAAATTCTTACATTTGTTGCTTGCGCCATCTATTGAATAAGTTATACGATATAACTGTTTCGATCGTTCCAACAAAACTTACACAACTTACCAGTAGGTGGCGTATATTATAATTTAAAATAAATGTTTATATTGTAATATTCTATTATAAAATAACGTATAAATAGAAAAACATAGTTTAAAATATATTTTTTGTATTTTAATTGGTCATTATTGTCAAAATGTATCACAAATTTGTAAATTTGAAGCTGTGCCATCTATCCAACGAGTAGCACGTTATGACTATGACGAGAGTTACAACAAAGATTAGACAACTTGCTAATGAGTGGCGCGTATTTTAAATTAGAATAATAAATGTTTATATTATATTATTCTATTAGAAAATATCACAGCAATATAAATACAAATGTTAAAACATATTTCTTACATTTTAATATTCACATAAACTTCCGGCATTATTACTATAAAACACCTGCGTCTGCTTCTTCTTCCTCCCTAAAGCATCTTGCGATGTTAACCAAGCTTGTTTTGACGTACACGCTGTAGGATTGTTGCTAACGGCGTTCTTGAAAAAGGATTTATAGTCGAGCTAGGGGTCATCTTTAGGTTAAAGTTTCCCGTTAAGCTCGCCCCTTTTATCATAGCCGATTATTTTCTTACGAATATGTAGGGCTCGAGTTGATAATGCTTAAATGTTGAAGAAAACTGTAAGGGTTTTGATGCACTTTTATTACGTCCTTTATACAAATTCCATGAAATAAGCCGACGATACAAAATAGCGACTGACTTATTCTAGTGTTGAGAGCGAAGTGAAGTTGCTCGCGGCAAGGCTTGAATGCTGAGCAACTTAGTGCAGTAATAAATGCAGTAAATAATGGCAGAAGCTTCCGTGAAGTTGCTATAAGTTTTGCCATTTGTGGTATTATTGTATGTGTTATACAATAAAAGTTTTATTTACATTAATAGTATAGGGTAAACTGTGCAAATACCGGTCAGTGGGTAATGGCGGTCATCCCGATTGTGCGAAATCTATTCAATCTGGCAACCTCCTATAACTGCCAACGTGTGGCTACACTACTCTGTATTCAGATTGCTGACGAGCGTTGAGTTGGCGCAAACCATTGTCATAGAAATATTATTAACCTGTTTTCAGTGTTTTCGATTTTATTTTTATGCTGAGTAATATAAGGTCTTAATTCATTTTTATTCACTTGTAGATCTTAAAATTGGTTACAGTTGATTATAATGACGTTAGCTGCCTATTCCTTTTTTAAAGATCAATATTTTAATACATGTTTACGAGTAAAAAATTCTAAGAAAAAAAATGCCAACAGGAGGCAATGCCGGTCAGTTGACCGGTATTACCCCCATGCTATAATTTATACCCTATACTATTAATCCTTAGGGATTAATCCATCCATTTTTCGACATTGCAAGAAAGAATAAAAAATAAAAATCGTCAAGGTGTCTCATTAGGTAGAAAATCAGTATTTTCTACCGAACAAGAAGCTAAAATAACCACACAAAAAAAATATTTATTTAAATTTTTTATGGCGTAACAGCAATAGGTAGAACTGAAAAAATTAGCATTTGGGTTTACAAGATAATTTTTCTTGTAATAAAACACCTTTTTCTTGTAATTGGCATTACAAGAAAAAGGTGTTTGATTCTAGTTCTTTGGAATCGGATATTGATATACCATGTGATAACAGTGACGATGCATACGAAGATAGATGCCTGGTTTACAGCAAGTTTGGCAAAAACAATGAATTGTGGTATATATTTACCGTTTGCTCACGATGGGCTTATTCAGAGTGCAGTGGATGGGATTCTGCAGAGAGTTATACCTGCGATGACTGTCAACTATTTTTACATTAAAACACATATTTTTGTTATTTTTTGTTTGTTTTGCAATAAAAAATATTTTTTCACCTTTCTTACTGATTTACTTGAATTATGACCCATTAAGCCACATTCGTTAATCGTTTTATAACAAAAAAATGTTAAACAGATATTGATTTTTATTTTAATAATAACACAAACAAATTGACTGGCATTACCCACACTCATGACCGGTATTGTCCATGTATGGTGACAATACCGGTCAAAGATACTTTTTTATGTTTTGTCTCTGTCAAAGACAAAAATTTTATATTTTTGAAATTAAATGTATCTTGCAATAAGTTAAAACCCCAAATTACGGATTGACGGCTTAAATTTGATTCACAGAGTTTTACTTTTTTTATATTAAATTTTCTTCTTGGGTGACCGCGATTTGCACACTTTACCCTAATGTTTGAAGCTATGTAGCAGTATAAATAATAAACCAAAATGCTTAGGCGACCACTATTCCCCCCCCTTTCCCCTATATTCTTTGGTGACACTTTTACGAATCCGTAGGGCTCCAGTTGATATTGCCCTGGGCAGTTACACAGAACGTGTTCGGCTGTCCCGTCATCAGCCTTTGACAGAATCTGCTATTCACACTTTCTGTTTTGCACTCTTCTTTAAAGCTTTATGTATAAAAGCTTTCAAATGTTTAAGACAAATTTACCGTATCATTATTAGGTTTTAAGTTTAGCCTCATGCTTTATATATGATACGTAGATGCGGTCTCTTATTATCCGCTGAATGCAGCGTTCATCTACGTCTGTATCAATTACAGGTAATATCGATATGTACTCGAATAAAAATATTATTATTTTTAGTAATTATATTATATTCCTCGGCACAGTATCAGTGGGACGCATTTCTAAAGCAAAACAAATTATGTATTGTGCATAGGTATGCTTTATTTAGATAATCAAATAATACAGAGTGGTAATATGGCACACTCAAAAACTTACTAATTAAACCTTGACAAGTTTAAACATAAGTAATACATAATAATCATAATAATACATAATAAACATGATAATACATAATAAAGATGATAATAATAATAACATTAAGGGAGGTTGGGGGAATTTTACGCAGAGGGTAATTATACGCAGAGCCGATTCAAATATATCGGTCTTAACTGGTGTCATGTACGCACGTCCAAATGTCTAACAAAGCACATCAGTTCGAGGGCAGAGATATTGTTACACGTGCTTTCGAATTTCGGTTGTTATTGAAACTTTAATGATAATTCATAGAATCCTATAAGAAATAGTCATGCGTTAGTCTTTTTTGTACTATTGTTTTTGTGTTATCAATTGAAAACGTGATTTTTACTGGGAATTTGCTCTTTGTTACGAAATAAGGATGAATCAGAGATCAATGTCTAAACTCGGTCGACAGCCTATCTTTTCGAAAGAACAGTAGAAAAAATTAACTAAGCATATCTTGGAGCTAGCTATAATGTTTTATGATATTACTGTTAGAGAGCTGAGGCAATTGGTGTATAGATATGCAGATGATATCAGGCACAGTTTTTGTAAAGAGACTGAACTTGCTGGAAAAGACTTGGTTACTTTGTTCTTAAAGAGAAACCAAAAAATAAGTCCGATAAAACCAGAAGGAAAAGAGATCCGATAGGTGTATTCTATCACACTGGTCCGACAATGGCTGGATAAATATCGAGCTGTTGTACGAGTGGTTAAAGCACTTTAAATATCATGTCCATACTAATCAACAGTCCCATATTTTATTATTACTTAACAATCACACCAGGCATAATTCACTGAAGATATATTAATTTTGTAAGGCTAATTCAATTCATCTCATGCACATATCTCTGTACACATACCTCCCAAAGCTGCAGCCCCTCAACCTTACATTTTTAACTATCTAAGGGAGCTTATAATAAAGAATGTGAGTTACATCTCAGAACACATCCACATCAGAGAATAACTAACTTTCAGTTAGCTGAGATTTTTAACAAAGCCTGTCTTAAAATTGCTACAATAAGGAAAGCGATTGCTGGCTTGAGATCTGCTGGTAGTTATCTTTTCGACCCAGATCAATTTAACGATGAAGACTTTTTGCCTACCACCAGTCATAGGAAATGAAGTATAAGAACATAGAGCATCTGATACCGAGCAACTGAAAGATCAAGTTATTAATCAGAATTGAAACATTACTCCAGAGTCAGTCTCACAAGTAAATTCTGAAATGGGTCCAATTCCTGGAGCATCAAAAACTAATTTTTCTTCGAATTTATTACCACTACCAAAAGTCCACTCAATTAAAAAAAAACTAGGACGTGTACAAAGAAACGAGCTGAAATCCTAACATCCACACCGATAAAAAATATTCTCGAAGCTGACTTAAAGAGGAAAGAAAGAAACAAAAATAAGGTAACTGCTACAAAAAAAAGGGTTGGCAAAGAGGCCAAAAATCAACCCAAATTAAAAAGATTAAATTTCAAGAAAGTGAAACGGAGGAATCGGAATATGGCGAGAAAGACATCTAAGATGATGATGAATTAGACTTAGTAGATCCGACTAGCCCAGAGAACATCTGCATGATTTGTGAAGAATTCGAGAAGGACAGTGAACTGTGGTAGCAATGTGCATCTTGTTTGGATTAGGCCCATGCCTCTTGCTCTGCGAGAGAAAGTTCAAAGGACTATATATGTGACATATGAAATAAATTCTTAGTTTAAATTATAAAATATTTTGTGACAAAGTCAAACTGTATAATTTTTATAATCTGCGTAAAATTTCCCGATACACTGCGTAAAATTGCCCACAAAGATAGGTTATTTTACGCAACAACCAAAAAAATTGAATGGATAATTTCAGAATGTCTATTTAACGTTAAAATTAAGTTTCGAGAGTTAACTATATTAATTTGAATAGCTTTATTAACTTAATAAACAACAATAAAGACGGTTTTGCTTAAATGCGTAAAATTTTCCCACCTTCCCCGGTAATTTATAATATTGTTATAAGAGTCTATATGACGTGTTCTGAAACTACTTACTGACTTTATTTCTGCAATTGGGCCAGACATTATCAAAGGCGGTACGGATGATAAAGTAGGTATATATGACCGTACCCTTCACCCACTGATGAGGCGTGACTACCTGAGGTATAGGTAGCCATCATAATATGTCTCCCGTGATTTGTCTATTGGTCTTAATTTGTATATTTCTTAATTTCTTAGTGTTTATTGTCACATTCTGTTAAGATGCAGATACTATTTTTGAGAATCATAATTAACAAGTTGTTTTTTATTTTCAGTAGCTGTGACTCAGAGGATTGGCAACACGGTAGTCAAAACGTAAACAAATAGTTTATTTGTCGTCTGCAATAAGCAATATCAAAGCATAGAAACGAAACTCTGGTAAACGCTGTGTTCTCTGAACTGTTGAGATCTTGATATGGAAGATAGTGTTTTGCGCCGGAAAATGGAAAAATATTTGAAAAATTTAGACAGTGATGATACGCTTTCAGAAGAAGGGGCAAAGAGGAAGTACAGATATAAAGACAGCAAGGAAGATGATAAAATTTGCAGAAAGAGCAAGAAGTTCTCGAGAACACCAACAAAAACTTCAGAGAAAAAAAAATGGGGAAAAAATATTTAATAATTATGTACTAATAATGATGAGCCACCTCACCGATAGCATTAAGGATATAAAAAGAAATCAAAAAAAAAGCAAGGAAACAATAGAAAAGCTCATTATGGAAAACAGAGAGCTGATAACAGAAAATGTAGAACTAAAACAAGAAAATATAGAGATCAAGGAGGAACTCAGTGAAATAACAAAAAACATGGAAGTTATGTAAAAACACCGACGAATAAATAACATAGTTACGAACGGCCTAAGGATAGACACATATGAGCAAACATTGGTCAAGAAGAAAGAAATAAAGAAAATAAAGTCAAGATTGGAGTAAAAAAATATGGGTAAATAACAGTGGAATAACAAAAAAGGCGCTATAGTCAAAACAACATAAAAAAACTAGCAACTAACTGTACTACTGGAATAACGTTGACGAAACAAGCACAGAAAGAAGGTAGCGATGGTACAAAAAAAGGAAAAAGAAGGAATAAAATGAAAACCGGACCAAAACACAAGAAAACATGTCGAAAAGAACACTTCCTTTTAGAAACATGGAATGTAAGAGGCACATACGGAGAAGGCAAACTTAAACATTTAGCAAGAGAAATCGAAAAGTTCCATTTTGACATAGTAGCTTTGCAGGAGACGGAACAGCTAGGAAATTATATATTAGAAATAGTAATAGAAAAATGAACAAAATTTACTGGAGATATGGGAAAGGAAAATCCTAAGGAAGATATATGGAGAAATAATAAGGGACGGTTTATGGATAAGAAGATCAAAGGATGAGTTAAATGAATTAGATAATCAACCTAATATAATAGGAGTCGTTAAGGCACAGAGACTAAGAGGGCGAGGTCACCTAGAAAGGATGCCAAATACGCCTATAGCTTCAAAAAAGAGAAAAGAAAGGCCAAAAAATAGATGGAATCAAGAGGTACAAAAAGATATGAAAAAAACTGGACAAGAAGGAATGAAGAAAAATCACATATCGAACCAGAGAAGATCTCAGTACATAAAGAAAAGCGAAAATAAAGAAACTTTTCAAGACATGGGCCTCTAAGGCCTTTAGTGCTATTATATATACATATACCTGTTACTCAACCAGCTCCTGATTCCTGCAATAGTGGACGTGAGATGGCTTTTGGTGGCTTTGACTTGTCGTTAAAGATCTATATGTTGACAAGGATATTTTAATCCTAACTGCTGATAAAGGGCATACTACTGTCGTACTCACAATCGAGGAATAAGATTATAAAATTCACGAACTACTGGACATGAACGCTTAGAAGAAATTGAAATGTGTTCCCGCCGAATCGATTCTGAAAAAGACTATTCAACTTGTCCTGGCTAGTTCTATAGATCACCAAATTTTGAACAATGCACAAAAGACAGAAGCACTACTACTGGGACTTTACGACCTTCCAAAAACTAACAAGGGAAATGTTCCTTTAAGAAGAACAACAATTAAGTTACGGCAGGGAACATACCGAAGAACTGCAGTTGTGATCTCAACATTGAGGGTTATAATTTCAAATGTTGGCAAAGAAAATAAAAAGGCTAAAAAAATGGAATGTGCAAAAGCTGAGAGACGCAACAGTTGCAAGACGGTATTCAAAAAACATTACCAATCAGCTAAAGAATCAAAATGTAGATGAAGAAGACCATAAAGACATAGACTCCTATTGGACTAAAATAAAGTAAGATATTGAAGGCAGTATAAGATCAAATAGAAACAGTAACTTGCTTGATATATCTATTGGTCAGAAAAGAAGAGAAAGACCCAGACAATTTTTCTTGATAACATTGATGAAGAAATGACGTGTCTGATGTGCATGACAATGGGGATAACTAGGGAGATTTTTTTAAAGAGGCTAAAGACAGATTTGTAAATCAGGATGACGTGGATTACAAAAGACGTTGCAAAATGCTTTACAGCGTTGCAGATAAAAAGTCAGGGATAAACAATTCTGGAACACTGTATATAAACTCAGATGACAATGTAACTTTGATATTTGATAGATTATATAAAAAATTAGATATACATTATATGAAAGATTATATAAAACTAATAACTGATAATTAATACATTTGTTTCTACACGTTTAACACTATAAATAAAAATAATAAGTTATACAAATACATTAAACCCAAATTAAACTTCATTTACATTTAGATATTCCTTCTTCGTTATCAATTTAGGACCTAAAATACATTTAGAAATTCCACATCCGGCTTCCTCAATTCTGTGAATTTTATTGTTTTGTGGCCAGAGATCGTCCAAAATTCTTAGTTCTTTTTTTGTAAATATCAAATCCAATGACTTCCTGATTCCAATCATTACTACCAACATCAAAGGGAAAAAAATGGATGTTTGCCTAATAGATTTTATTAGCCACAAACTAATTAAGCAGGTAGTTTGTATGAGTGTGAATAAATTAATTTTCTTGGTTGGCACCTGAAAAATACAATAAGATAATTTGGTAAAAATGTGTTATAGCTCAGGAAAATTAGATTTTTCTCGTGACAATGATAACACCAGACAAATATTTGTTTTGAGTTTCTTTTTGAAGGAAAGAGGTCAGGAATTTGGAGTTACAGATCTTTTAAATTTCTTCGGACCTGTCATAACAGAGAATGCACCTATAAATATTAATATTTTGGCTTCTCCCTTAACAAAATCGACAGGTAAATAAAATACTTTGGTACGTTAAAAGCGTGTATTGCGTACACGTAAGATTTGTGAAAAGTCGAAGACTGTCATGGCTGGTACATGTGCAGAGACAAAATGATGCAAAAACAACAAAGAAAATGTTACAATGGAAGCCCATAGGAAGGTGAAAAAAAGGAAGGCCCAGAACGAGATGGTTGGATGACGTGGAAGACGACCTGAAAACAATGAACATAAGACAATGGAGAAGAAGGGCACAAGAGAGATCTGAATGGAAGGACATAGCCAGACAGGCAAAGACCCATCCAGGTTTATGATGCCAAAAGAAGAAGAATTGCTTACACGTAACTTAAGTTCTAAATGGTTTGCATGAATTAGGTACTTTTACTTTTTTTCTTACAGTTAAATCCCAATGGAAACAATCTTGAGGATAAAAAATAAAGCAAAATCAGTTGTACGTCTTCAAGCATTCGTCATCAGCTATCCTTTTATACCTTTTAGAATCTTCAAAAACCTGCATAAGATTTTTGCAGCTTTTTTTAATCCCAAATAGGAACTACGTAAATTGCATTCTTACATTATCAACATAGATATACTATACTTCATCTGTTGAATAACAGCTCTTTTGAAGCTGAAAGTTTCTACACTCTTTTGATATAAGTGTATACCGACAGCTATCACAGGCAATACATAGGGATGTGTAGTTCACCATCGAAATAGTTCAAATGAACGATTCTTTCAACTGAACTAATTGAACTAGTTCATTAATTTTCATAGAACTAGTTCACTGTGAACGATTTGCTTTATAAATTGTGGCTGTACTTCTAAAGAAGAAAATAATGAATGAATGAGATCATATATTTCGAATGGAATGGGTCGAATTACATAGTCCCTGATAGAAACAAGAGGAGTAGGAGCAGGCTTTTTCTTAAGAATTATGCTGCTTTCTCTTCATCTTCCTCTGCTTGTCCTACAAGCGAAACTTATTTTGACGTTGAAGGTTGAGGTTATTGAAATGTATTTTCTGATTTTTCGGGTCCTTTTTCTATGTATCTTTCAACATTGAGATATTTGAGATTGATAGCAGGATGTTTCATTCTTAAATGTCTTGATAAATTGCCCAGTGAACCACTTGCAATACTAACATCACATGAACAGTAATTTTATTTTGCAGATTTTTTATTTTTATCATTTTTCTCGGAATGATCCCATAAAAGCTTCTATTTCGTCTGTTACTCATCTTTAGGGATTGATTAGGAAAATAAATTATTATAAAGAAAAATTAACTAATAACATAATAATTGATATAAGGTTGAATGCTCGAATAAATTAACTTTGAAAAATTGAGGCAAATATCGAGCACAAATTTAATAATCAAATCTTGCCCAAGTACTTTCGCTTTCTACAGCATTATCAGGGGTATTTCGTCAAATTTGGGCTATCCAGCAAGCGCAGAATGTAATAAACCTGAAATTGGACATAAATTGTACATAATACTACATTAAAACAAGGACAAACAGTTTAATATTATTAAAAATTATTCTACGCTCTATTTTAATGTAGTGTTATGTACAATGTATGTCCAATTTCATGTTTATTACATTCATCGCTTGCTGGATAGCCCAAATTTGACGAAATGTCCCTGATGATGCTGTAGAAAGCGAAAGTACTTGGGCAAGATATGATTATTAAATTTGTGCTCGATATTTGCCTTAATTTTTCAAAGTTCATTTATTCGAGCATTCAACCTTATATCAATTAAATAGTTATTAATTAAACGAGAAGCTAATTAACATAATTAAACAATAACATAATTTAAAACATTTAAACCTAAACATGCGATCGAAATAAATGGTTCCGAATCCGAACTACTTGTACGCCGTATGGTAGTGAAAGACTACCGCCATACGGTAGTAACTGAAAACCGAAGAAAACGGACGGCCGGCGCCGAGCTTGTGTGATGATTGAGACGAGACATCTGGCAACCAGTTATGTTAGGGTTGGATTTTGATTTCGGTCATACAAATAGTACTTTCGCGAACTAGTTCACTGAACTAGTTCATTTTTGTGAAATAGTTCTCTTGAACTAGTTTGTCTAAAAGAACTAATAAGCACACCTCTACAACACAATCTTCATCAGAATTGATATTGAAGGACTTTGAATACATTGAGATATCATAAAAGATAATAGAGCTAGAGTTAGCAAACTTCAACAAAAATTAAATTTTAGAATAACTGAGAATAAGAATTTGTAAATATAATAATAACTGAGAATTTGTAAAATTATAAAGATGTGAGTTAATTTTAGAATAATAAATAATATACTTACTAATATAACTTACTTCTCTTAAGAACATGTGGTCCGGCTGATATTTCCTTGGCATAAATATAATGAGAATTCTGTCAACAAACTGTAATCCTTTTAACGAGGATATTCCCATATAGAGGAATACACCGTACAGAACAGGCATTGGTAAGTGCTCTAATAAGCGCGATAAAAATATCGATAATCCAATGGACAAAAATATCAAAATATGTGTCACTCTCTGCTCACGAACACCTAAAAATTGAGGCACGTCACCTGGTGCAGTACATTCTGTTTCCAGTTTCAAAGAGTGTACGTGTGTTAGGGAAAGCACTGTTGCTGCTACAAACCAGGGAAGTCCCATAATTGAACAAATTGCGATGAGGATTGCCAAAACGAATAGGTCTAAATGATAACCACAGCCTATAATAAAAAAATATCATTAAAAAAAAATTATTTCGAGAATTTCAAGGTTATTTGATATTTTATGGTCTCAAATGTTACAGTAGTTTAAATATATCGATAATGTGGGTACCGTAAAACGGGGTTACATTGAACCCGAGGGTTATATTGAACAGTTTTGCAATGAAGATTATGTTTTTCTACAAGTTGGCCTAAACTTTTTTTTGGGGCCAATATATTTTTTCAGGGTTGCAAATATGTATTTCTTGGACTTCCTGATAAAATTTCTGACAGGTTCTCAAAATTAACAAAAATGAAATAAAAAATGGTTTCTGAAATAAAAGGTAGTAACAAAAAATATCTCAAACTTTGGTCTGCAGCCGGCGATATGCAAAAGATATCTTCTCATGACTAATTTTACACGATACTAGTACCTATTTGAACCTTATTCTACATAATACCGTAAATGATTAGGGTTTTGAATATTTTTAATTAATTTATACAAAAAATATGTCAATTATTTTGGGAACGTGGGGTAACATTGAACGGCAGGATTGAACGTGCTTGGGTGGCGTCAATCGAGTTCCATCTAAATATTATTGTCTGGCGTTACGCTACCTCGTTTTGAATCATTTGAATGAAATTCGCTCAGCTCAGAGCTCAAGCTCAGTATAACATTGGTTGACTTGGCGGTAGGAAAATTGTGTGGTTAGGAAATTCAGTTGTGGTGCAATAGGTAGTGTAGTGCGATAATCTCAGTCCAAAATGCGTGATTACGTTAGAAAGTTGGGTAGTCGATCATACAAAAATTACACCTCTGATACTTTGGATCAAGCAATCCGCGAAATTAAAACAAAACAGTTATCACTTTCCAAGGCGTCGAAGAAATACAAAATCCCAAAAGGAACATTAACTCACAAACTGAACAACAAAAAAATGAAGGACGTCGGAAGGCCCACAGTTTTAAACAACGACGAAGAAAAGGCACTGGTCAAGATGCTTTTGAAAACCGCTAAATGGGGCTTTCCTTTGACTCACGACGATTTACGACATGTTATGAAAAGCCATTTGGATACAATGGGTAAGAGAGTTAAGCAGTTTAAAAATAATTTGCCTGGTATCGACTGGATTAAAGGTTTTCTGAAAAGAAACAGAGAAATAAGTGTAAGAAAATCTCAAAATATAAACCCAAATAGAGCATCTTCCACTAGAGAAGTTTTCATTGCTTATTTTGATAACCTTGAGCAATATCTAAACGGTGTTTCCTCCGATTGTATATACAATTTCCATGAGACAAATTTATCGGATGATCCTGGGTCTGCAAGATGCTTTTTTAAAAGAGGGGTGAAATACCCAGAACGTTTATTATCTCAATCAAAATCAAACATTTCTTTGATGTTTTGTGGATGCGCTTCAGGAGTTCTGCTGCCTCTGTATGTAGTCTACAAAGCAGAAAACCTTTGGACAACTTGATAGATACAACCGAACAGCTCATGGATCGTTCGATTCTGCAACATTTTTAAATTGGTTTACTTCTGTTTTCCTTTATTCCACGAGACATGAAGAAGGAGTCAAAGTATTAATCGGGGATAACTTGGCGAGCCATTTTTCTAAGCAAATTATCAGATTGTCGGTTGAAAATAATATTCGATTCATATGTTTACCGCCGAATACTACGCATATCGCTCAACCCCTGGATGTCGCGGTGTTCGCACCACTGAAGAAACAATGGCGTCCAATACTCAACGATTATAAGTTAGCAACGGGATCAACTGGTCTTCCAAAGGAGATGTTTCCAACACTTTTAAAAAAGCAGATGTTAAAATTCGCAGAAACTGGTGAACAAAACCTTCAAAGTGGCTTTCGGGCAACGGGTATATACCCTTTAAACAGAAATCAAATATTAAAGAAATTGCCTGGTACTGATGATACTGAATCAAATGAAAGTTTTGTAAACAGTTTAAACGACACAGTTTTACAATTTCTACAGGGTATTAGGAACAAAAAGAGAGCTAGAACTCAAAGAAAAAAGAAAATTAACATCGCACCTGGTAAAAGCATTGGATTGGAAGATTTTGAAATAGGAGAAAGTTGTGGATGTTCTGCACCACCCACGAAGAATAAGAAAAAGTCTGCTAAGGAATTGGATAGTGACAGTTCCGACTACGAACAAGAGCTTCAGGACGAATCTGATTGTGATTTCGAGACATTTTGTGATGAAATGCACCAAGAAAAGAACGAGGAGATCGAAAGGCCAACAGGAGCTGCAGTCGTCGACGATTATGTGCTCGTGAGATTCGCAACCAAAAAGATCTTGAAATTTGTCGTTGGTCTTATAAAAAAAACTGCCTGATGGAGATTATGTGGCCAAGTTCCTGAGAATTGCGAAGAATTCTGCCTTCTATTAGCCAGAGGTAAATTTTTCAGTGCATTTTGCATTATACCAAAATCGATTGTTGATTTATTTTCAGATAGACGACATTTCAGTCGTAAGTTCTTCAGATTTTGAGAGACTTCAGCCAGCTCCAGCTGAAGACCGCCGCGGAAAAGTGGTTTTTTCGATCCAATTTGATGGGTATACTCTGGGCTAAAATCCTTCTAAAGACTGTCGTTTATACGTTTCCCTTATGTTTTGTCATTTGACTTGAAAATTGCCAATTTCTTTAGTTTGAAATATGATTTTATAAGACTGTGTAAAAGAATTTAAAGTTTAATAAAAAAGAATGTAAAAAAATATTTTGTCAATAAATATAACCATTGAGAAAAAAAACAAACAAAACTCTCCCCACTAGTTTTTTCCGCTTGTTTTACTGGCGGGGTTAAATTGTTTTATAGCTATTTTTACATAGCTACGCCCAAGAGATAATCTAACGTATGTAAAGTCATGCTTCTATAGTGACCCATAAGTGGTATTTTTTTATTCGATTGAGCAACAGATACAAAACTTATTCAACAAAATATGAAGAAAATGTTCAATGTAACCCCTTTTTACGGTACCTAAATAACCTGTTTCGAGTATAAAATAATAATATTAATAAGCTTCTTAAAAAGAATAAAAATGTCCAATTGACATAACATTTTGTCAATTACATTATGTAATAAAATATATTTTATAGTGAAGTACCAAAAGAATGTAGAGCTCAACATTGAATTTCTTTAATGATTCACAGAAGACTAGAAAGTTCATAACAACCTGGGAAGCCATAGGTTAAAGATTATTTAAAGTAAATATGTGTCTTTACGGATAAAAACAAAGAATGGTGGGCGTATACGCAATAAATAACGACGCAATAGCCAACATAAAAGCTTCACGAAGAAGTATCGAAAATAAGTCAATCGCGGGAAAAAATATTTATGCGGGATATTAACAGTAGAGTAGGAAGAAAAGTTGAGAATGAAATAGTAGGAAAATACTAAGAAGACACCACGAACAACAACGGTGAAAGATTCATAGATTTATGCAACCAGAATCAGCTCAAAATCTTAAATCAATACTTTCCACATAAACTGATACACTGCTATACATGGTTTCAGGAATCACAAAACATAAAATCAATAATCGATTATATTGTATCGAATAACAAAACAAAAAACCCGACCGAGAGTAAAAGATGTAAGAGTTTAGAGAAACGCAACATGCGGTAGCGATCACTATTCATTACATTCCAAAATTCACTTCCCAATCCGAAGACAGCAGAGAGAAACACATAAAAACATAAATAAGACAGAAAAGATATAGGAACTAATATACATCATCAGAAGCCTAGATGAAGAAAGTACCCAAGACTTATTCAAAAAGTTAGTATTTTAAATTATGTACCCTTTTTTGAACACACTGATGATGTTGTTAAGATGCTATATATTTAATATTGTTCTGAAGCTATTTTCTTGTGGCATTGTAAATTAATTACTGTTAAACTGGGAATAAGCCACAATTAAAGATAAAAATACGTTTATTGACGTTTCAATTTCCACTTCGGAAATCGTTCTCAAAATACAAACAGTAAATTAAACAAATTTTGTTTTTTGTTACATAGTGAAAAATTCTTCTAATAATTTAATTTTATCTGACTCATTTATGATGATATAAACAGATTGGAAGCTTTCGAAATGTGGCTTTATCGCCGTATCCTAAAAATACCATGGACAGCGAAAATCACAAATATAGATGTCCTTAAAAGAATAAACCAAGAACGCCAACTTTTCGAAACCATCAAGAAAAGGAAAACGGCGTATCTAGGTCACATCATGCGAAATGAAAAATACCAGTTCCTCCAACTTATAATCGAGGGTAAAATTGAAGGCAAGAGAGGAATGGGACGCAAGAAAATGTCCTGGCTCCGAAACATAAGGCAATGGACAGGGATTAACGACATACAATCTCTGATACATATTGCAAGAAATAGAGAGTTAATGGAAAATGTGATCGCTAACATCCATTAGTGGATTTGCATCTGAAGAAGAAGAAGACTCATTTATATTGACAATTCAGACATACATTATGCATTTTAAAGTAGACGACTTTAAAATGATATTGCCAATATTGTTGAGTTGCGCTCCTGGGACGACTTTACTTATGAGATAGTTCATTCGATTACATGAAATCAACTTTAACTTGAGAATATCCGTCAGAAAAAATCATAGCATGTAATTCGTCTTTAAAAAGACAAACACATGACATGATGACAGTCAAATTGATTTCACAGTTAATTATGAGGGAAAAACCAGGAAAAAAAACATAAATGATGAATCCTCTATATGTTACTGACTTACTAATACTGGTATTTTCTTATTAATAACTTCCTCTTTCAATATTGGTAACCAGATCCTACTACATTCTGCCGAGGAATTTGCGACAATTATGCTAAATGAGGCCAATTGTGTCGCAAATTCCTAACCTCTGGGCTACAGCTGGCAAGCGTTTTTAAAAATACAGCATAATTACCTTTTCTAAAGTTAAACTCCTTTCTATTAACTATAACAGCTGTTATTTGCTGATCCATAAATATTAGAATAGTGCCCAATAGAGCTGGAAGAATTGCTAAAACCACTGAGTAAATTGGATTGCGGCTGAAGGGAGATATGATCCATCCTCGATTCGGAAGAGTTGGTTTGAATTCGTGAGGTATTTCGAGTTTTGGCGTTGGAATTCCGACGTAGTAATCTAACACGGTCATGGAACATATTGCTATTGTTACGGAAAAATCACTTATTAATTGGCGTACCTGCAAAAAGAACCAACAAAAATATTAATATGGTATTTATCCAAATGTTACTGAAATTTTCATTTAGAGAAGTAATTACTTAGTTACCTTCAAAGACTGCTACCATCAGATATTATTACCGATAAATAACCAGAAAGATAATACCTATAGTACCAACAATAAAATAAATGTTTCTTAAACAAAACGGTTTTTTTAAACGATTTTTAAACGGTTAAATATTCTATTAAATTCATTAATTCATTTATTATACAGAATTACATTTATTGAAAATAACTACTGTTTTAGTTCCAACGTAACCAGCTTTACCAAGGCTTCACGTGTTTCTTTGTAAAAAATTTTAGTACAAAAATGAAAAACAATTTTGCCTGAATCTGATATAATATGAAAGACAATGTAAAACTCCCAGTTTTAGTCTATGGATCATTTAGATTTGGTTTCAGATGCTCATCTAAGAACACTAGTCTATGAACTGGAGCTTCCCCGATATTAGACCAGATAAATAGAGTATAAAATTACCCTGCTGAGGTCTTTGACCCGGCCGAGTATCTGATAAGTTTTTTGAGTTTTATGGGACTTGATAACCAAAACTTCTATCTCTCCTGTAGCGGGTTCATTCTTCTTCTTCAAGTGCCGTCTCCATCAATGGAGGTTAGCGGTTATGGTGGCAAACGTTTGTCTATCTTCAGCTGCTCTTAAGAGTTCCTCAAATCCAAGTCCTGTCCAGTTTCTGATATTACGTAACCAGGACAATTTTTTTCTTCCAATTCCTCGCTTTCCTTCTATTTTGCCTTTTATTATCAACTGAGGGATGTAGTATTTCTCGTTGCGCAACAAATGCCCTAAATAACTGGTTTTTCTTCTTTTCACTGTTCTCACTAGTTCTTTTTCTAAATTGAGTCTAGCTAGTACTTCTTCATTTGTTTTTCGTGCTGTCCAAGGAATTTTTAAAATTCTACGGTACACCCACATTTCAAATGCCTCGATTCTATTCAGGCTCTTTATTTTTAAAGTCCACGTTTCGACTCCGTAGAGAAGAACAGACCAGATAAAACATTTTACAAGTTTTAATCTCAATTTAATATTTATATGTGTATCGCAGAATAGAACGCGCATCTTAAAGAAACTATCCCTAGCTTGAGCAATTCTCGCTTTAATTTCTTGTTCTGGGTCCAGCTTGCAATTAATCCAACAGCCAAGGTATTTGTATTGGTTTACCTGTTCTAAAATGTTCCCATTTATTTTTATAGGTAAGGGGATATTCTGTTTTCTTTGGATCACCATTACTTTTGTTTTTTTTTTTCGTTGATCTTCATTCCAAACTCTCGACAAGCATCCTTAAGGTGGTCTATAACCCCCTGTAAGTTTGTGTCTGTATCAGCAAGTAGGACAGTGTTATCTGCATATCTTATGCTAGATATTGGTTCTCCATTAATTTTTATTCCTGTGGAAAGGTTTTCCAAGGCTTGCTTGAATAGTAGTTCCGAGTAAAGATTGAACAGCATAGGGGATAGTATGCATCCTTGCCTTACTCCTTTATTTATACTAATATTTCTAGATGTATGATCGTCGATCCTAATCTTGGCACTCTGTCTCCAATATAAGTTCTTAATTAATCGGAGATCTTTACTATCCAAGTTGATGCTCTGCAAGGAATTTAACATTTTATTATGGTTTACGCGATCAAATGCCTTTTCAAAGTCTACAAAACATAGAAAGACATCCTTTTGTTGGTTGTAACACTTCTGCAGCAGTACATGTAGTGAAAACAAGGCCTCTCTGGTCCCCATTCCGGCTCTGAATCCAAATTGATCGTATCCAACTTCTTTTTCACACCTTTTGTATACCCTATTGTAAAGTATTTTTAATAGAATTTTAAGCACTTGGCTCATAAGACTTATTAATCTAAAATCTGCGCATCGCCTGGAGTTAGCTTGTTTTGGAATGGGAATAAAAATAATTAAGTCATTGCCAATAGAACTTTATCAAAGTAATTTCATAACTACAAGTTGTGAAAATAATTGCACACCCACACAATTTTTACATCTACACCTATTCATTGTCATAAAACTGTCACCTTCATAAAACAATTACTCAATAAATAACACACATTTCTAAAATATATCTCTGGAATAAGTATAAATAGCCTTTAATAACACAATAGTATATTACACCACTTACATTTAACAAACAATCTCACACATATCTCAAATTCATTGGATTAAATCTATCTCCTCAAGAACTTCCCGTTTACTATCAAACAACTGCAGTGATAGAATTGAGTTCTCCATTCAACAATATAAAGTAGTTTCAACCATGTTCTACCATCCATCTATTAATAGAGTACCGGCATGTAAGTAATGTTTATTTTATTTATTTATTTGCTCATTTATTAATTTATTACAATCGAAGAGACTATTTTATAACAATTTGTGGGCCTTACCTTGTCTGTTTAACCTTTTTAAAAAATTTTATACCGTTTATTCAACTTACCCATTTAAATAAAACCACAGACATGTAATATTGGGATAATTATTGTAATTTACAACACCTACTTTGTTTATCGTTATTAGACAACACCCTAATATGGGTTTTTTTTATTATTTCAGCATTTGTTTAACTTTGTATCGAGACCTGAGGATGCTTTGCATATTGTAGAAAGCGAAACCGGTCGTCTGATAGTTAAATTAAATTGATTGTGAGTAAGTCTTATTTATTATTTCTTTACCTACATTACCCCTATTTCTAAATTTTTAACAACCTTCAAAATTACAGCATTACTTGAAGAACGTTTATTAAACCGTTGTGAAACCGTTGTTGACCGAAAATAATGCTCCACAAGAAACACTTTCTCCTCTGTACTTAACACCATTTTTAACAATTAAGCCTTAATAATTAATTGCTTAAGGATTATTTGACAGGTTTATACTCGTTATTTTGAATGTGACAGCGCGAACAATGAGACATCTATGTTTCAGTTTCAGTACTGTTTATTTTGGACAACTCTATTAACTTTGGTACTCTATTAACGTGTTATTATTACTAACATTATGAAGAGAAAACAGCAGTTCAAGAAACAGGATCTTATCAAATTTCTACTTACCTTTGAAGGAAAAAAACGAACATTTTTGAAGTTCTTCAGTTGTATTGAAATAACGAATGTTCCAAGAAATATCAAAACTGACATAAGAAATATACCCGGAGAGTATTGTGGTACCAAGCAGCTTTCACTTGAAATTTCATTGAGAAGCTAAAATTGAAAGATACATTAAAGACATCCTCGCTATCGTTTATGTTAAATACTATACCTGATACATTGTTTGGTTGGTCGTGTTGGAGCTCGACATATTTAATAATATTGGTGGAGTGTTATCATTCCCAGTGAATGAACATTCTTCCATATTGGTACCGTTTTTATCCATAGTAATTGGAAATTTATTTGCAATGGCCAATACGTTTTCAAAGGCCTTAAATATAGATGATTAAGCATTATTGATAATTAATATTACCAGTATTTTTAAATTATACGTAGAGTAACATATTTAGGCATTTTAATTATGAGAAAGAATCCATGCGCAAACAATTTTCATAAAAAGGAAAATCCTTTACATATAAATATACACATACAAAAGGAAACCGATAAATTTAACCCTTTAATTTTACAAAAATGTCTACATATATTATACGTATGCATAAAACACACATCATCTTTTTTCATGTCGATTTCGGTATCACCATCATCATCATCGACCTTGTTATCATTTAATTATTTCGGATTATGGCTTACGCTCTTACGTCTTATCCTGTTCTGAAGTGGATTAGTTCTCCTTCTCCCTAATTTGGTTAGAAGGTATTGTGTATTAATACTTGTTTATTTCTTTTTCATGAACAGATGCTGTACACGGCATGGAAACAGACGGAAATGGAGAAGATTTACGTTACGAATAGAGTAAATCAGCTCCAACTCTAAAGAGAAAGAACCTAAGAATGAGGAATTTCATACTGATTTCATAAAACGTAAAATGGATACGTCATTGACCCCACCACAAAAACACTCATATATCCAGCAAAGAGAACAAAAAACTAGAAAATCGCAAATCCCACCTCCAATAATTGTAAAGAGTATTGCCGAATTTAGCCAATTTCATGAATTAGTCAGACTACATACTGCTAAATTTCAGATAAAAGTACTTGAAGAAAAGAGTGCTAAAATTAATGTCGATAGTGAAGAAGTTTTTAGAAAATTAACGAAAAAGTTGAGTGAAGTAAATTATCCATGGCATACGTATGAAAATAAGCAAAGCCGACCCATTAAAGTTATGGTAAATAAATTATATCATTCAGCCAGTAAAGATTCGTTCATGAATAATTTAAGTAATCAAGGATTCAAGATATCTTTATAGAATCTATGAGATCTCAGATATCATGAGCGTAAAAGTACAAATACTTCCGCTAAGAAAATCAAAATTGGTACCTCAATTTAAAAGATGTCAGGTATATGGACACACACAAAGTTACTGTGCGAAAGAACCAAGATGTGTCCGCTGCACAGGAAAACACCTAACAGCCAAATGTGAGAAACCCAAGGACGCAAAACCTAAATGTGTCTACTATTGAGAAGGGCATCCGGTTAAGTATAGAGGATGTATAGTGGAAAAGGAAATAAAAAAAAATAAAAGATAAATATAACAAGAAACAGACCTTACCCAGATAACCACAAAGAATGTATCCAAAACCTCTAGAAAATCCAAAACAAGAAGAAAACATAACAAGAACTTCTAGCATGGTAGCAGCTGGTAAAAGTATAGCTAGTACAGAAAATATTAGAGAGATTAACTAACCTGGACGAGCGTATAATAACCAGAATAGAATATAGCACCAAAGGAGTTATACCTAAAAAACTTGGCAATGGCGGGTAGTTTACAAATAATAGAATGGAATACAAATGGTATCTTGAAACATCAGCAGGAACTACAAGCAATACTAGATATAGAAAAAATAGATATATGCCTCATTTCTTAATCCCATTTTACGAATGAGTCATATATTAGATTTAGGGGTTATAAAACTTATCATACTACTCACCCTGATAATGCATCCAAAGGAGGTACTGCAGTGATATTCAAAGAAAATATTATGCACTATCAGAAAATTGGATACAAAACAAAAGAATTTCAGGCCACATCAGTAAAAATTAAATACAAAAACTATGAGGTAATCGTGACAGCGGTTTACAGTCTGCCAAGACATGCCATCAAGAAAAATCAATATGTAGATTTCCTGACCAGTCAAGGACATAGATTTATCCTTGGAGGAGACTTCAAAGCAAAACATACGCATTGGGGGTCACGACTGACTATCACCAAAGGGAAAGAATTTTTAGAAGCAATAAAATACATAAAATGCGACGCGGTATCAATGGGAAAGCCAACATACGGGCCTACTGACACAAATAAAATCCCAGACCTTATCGACTTCTTTGTAGTCAGAAATATTTCAACAAATTACATAGAGATAGAAGAGGCATTTGATATGAACTCGGACCATTATCCAATTATTCTTACACTCAGTGGAACTGTGATAAAAAATGAAGCCCCCCTAGACTTGTTAACAAAAATACTGATTGGAAAAGTTTCCAGATAGACCTTAAAGGGAAGATTCACCTCTCAGTTCCATTAAAAACTGTTAATCAACTAGAGGCAGAAGTAAAATTACTCAATAAAAATGTACAACAAGCTGCTTGGAACAACAGCACGAATAGTGTCGAAAGAATAAAAGGAAATAACTACCCGAAAGAAATCAGAGAAATGAGAACCGAAAAAACGCAGACGCAGGCGACAATCTAGAACACCAGTTCAATAATGCCACAAAAAAATTAATATGTCCATATTGGTTTGGAGGTCCCATGGGTCTGTACAAAAAGAAAGTAACATCCAAATTATACAACGATATCAGAATAAATTATTAAGTAACATCGTTAACGATTCATGGTACTTCAGAAACTGTGATTTTTATCGAGACCTCTAGATGGATACGGTTATTTACCAGACAATAAGTAAGTTTGCCGAGAGTCATGAACAAAGGCTCTCCAACCACGTGAATGTCGAGGCCATCAAACTCCTAGACAACGCCAACTAGATAAGAAGACTTAAGAGAACGAAGCCGTTTGAGTTAGTGCTATAAGTGAGTGAAAGTGAAAAAGCAGAACAAAGTGCTCAGTACAGTACACATTAGCTAGTAGTACTATAATGTATTAGAGCCTAAAGAATACTGCTAAATGTAATCTTACATAAGTTTTTTCTAATATTTTATATATAAAACTAACTTGCTTATTGATCATAGTTAATGATCAGATAGCGATAATCATAAGATTCCTATTGAAGTTTTATTAAATAAAAAAAAAAAATTTAAAAATTATTTTTCATTGTTTTAGTTTCATAATTTTTATGTTATTTTTAATTTCATACCACCATAGTGTTGGTTTCTTCGTCGGATCGGTGTCCATTTCGTAACTGTTTTGATCATCTCGTCTGCCAGTGAGCGATGATGAGCACCATTTTATCGTGCATGTGATAACGGTTCATATCAGTGTTCGTAGGCGTGGCCACAGCGGGTGTCGTGGAACCCAGACTAACTTTCGCGAGGTGTAAAAATTGGGAGCGTTCATTTCAAGAAACAACAACTAGTATGTAAACATTTTGGGTAATATTAAATAAACTAGATATTAAGCTCAAAGGTAAAACTTTTGTAGTAAGTAAAAGTAAGTTAAAAATTATAAATAATGCATATTAATGTGGGAATACAAAATCTTACTGGAAGATAATATTGAGTGCGATAGATTAAGAAGTTTTGATAAATGTGTAACAGCATGCATTTATCAGAGGATTTTTAATAAATTTTTAGAGCTCGAATTTTTTTTCGAGGTCAATAATATTTATTTATATTAAAAACAAACTAATCAAAAGTAATTATAGTATATATATATATATATATATATATATATATATATATATATATATATATATATAGGTTTCCATTCGTTTTTTTTTTCAGCCTTTTAATTGTTTTTTTTTCTTCATAATTAATTTTTTACAGAGCGATTTAAAATGCATCAACATACAAGTTGCCATGAATTTAGCACAAAAATGTCGAAGAGTTTATAACGTAAGTAAGTTCATAAATCTTTAAATCCAAAAGAAAATAGAGAACTGAACTGAATTAACAGCCAGAGAGAAGCAGCGACAAAAAAAATAGATTATATGAAGAAACTAATCGATATAATTGTAGTTCTAGTAAAAGGTGGAAAACCTCTTGATAAAACTGAAGAAGTTATGATAAAACGATAAAACTGAAGAAAGCAATGAAAAAGTATCGTTTTTCGAAATTTTATAACTTCTTAAACAATATCATATTACATTTAAACCACACTTGGAATTGGCGCTAAAAAAATGCACGTATTTTGGCAACTACATTCAAAATAATCTTTTACATTCTGCCAAAAATGTAAGGAATATTCAGAAGAAAACAAAATGGCAGCATCTTTATGTGATTGGAGACGAGACTTCTGATGTCACTTGTGACAAGAAGATTGCTATTGTTTTAGATATATCCTTAAAGGTAGTACCTTTCTAGTTAAAAGCATTGAAAAGTTTAAATTTAATTGATGCAAAAACTATTTTTGAAACAATAAATTCTATTTTGTATAGTATGAATGATTCATGGGAGGATTAAGAGTGAGAAGGTTGTATGCAATATTTGCAAAGAAAAACTTAGTTATAAATCAACAACAGCAAATTTGAAAAGCCGTTGAAAGTACGTCAGTATATTTTTATTTGATTCAAGTAAGCATGTTTGTTTATGTACTCGCTTAAATATTTTAATTCGTTTTTCAACTTGTTACTTGTTTATGAAAAGCGATTCAATTTCGATAGTAATAAAAACGTCAACGACTCACCTCTACTGTTTTTCTCGTTACTACAGTGTCCTGACTTCGACGTTGTCAAAAAAAAATTGTAAGAAACTTTTGTATTGTGGTGTCATATTGCAGTTTATTATTTTTATTAGGTATAAGGCACAATGTGACTTTAAAATAAGCTTATTTTGATGTTTAGATTTCCAATTCGAAAAATCGTGCTTAAAATACGAAACATTAATAAATTTTATTTACATAAAACGATTTCCGAAGTGGAAATCAAAATGTTAAATTAAACTTATTGTAAAGGAAAATTTGTGGCATATTTAAAATAAAAAAAAAAACAGTAAGCTGTTATTTAAATCAATTCGTCCAAATTTGATTATCTTAAAACGTTGTTAAAATGTTAAAAAGACAACAGGTCAAATAAAAACAATAAGTTTGGCGCAAGTAATAATAATTCTCCTCTTTTCTTAATTCCACTAATGCTATTTCGACGATATAAAGGGCGAACCTAATATACCTCTCTTTTTAAATAGATGTTTCTCACTCCATCTCACGTAAGGTACATACCGACCATAAACTTTTGCCTACACTGTATATAAGTACATTATAAATCAAATTTTACTTACCTTATAAATATATATAAGCGTGACCAATACTGCAAAATTTTCCTCGGTAAATCTGGTAATATAACACACAAAAGCGCTGGCATCTATGGACACTAATATCACTAAAATTATTGAAATCCAAGTTCCGATCCAGAACCTAAAGCTCATATAATCCCAGTCCATTGTGTAACAGAAGTCGTAAATTATTGATTCAAATATTAATACTGGTCCAGTTGATCCTAATATCGACAATGGTTGGCCTGAAAAAAAACCGTAGAGAACCCCACAAATAAATCCCGATACCAAAGATTCCAAAGTAGCCATGTTTTTACCAGTAGCTTCTGATAAAAGCCCACCAAAGGTAATAATTGGAGATAGACATGCGAAGTATAAAAATATCCACGTTGCTATGGTTTGTAGAGCAAATGCATCCTTAAAGTCAGATAAATAAAACGGTGTCTTTCGTTTAAAATCATTCACAAGTCCTCCAAACAACACTCCAGTTCTGACTAAACCTGAATATTCTCTTATTCTTTGTTCGTCGTCTTCTCCATCAACTTCTCTGATATATTTTTCAGGAGCTCGTTTTCTATAATCTTGGGAAGGAACAGTAGCAGGAGGATCAATTCTTATAGCTGGATCCCATTCTGAGGGGGGTAAACCCGTTACTGCGTCAAGAAACTCATCTATTCCTACTAATAAATGATTTTTATTGCGGGCCTGATACACTACTTCACCAAAGACTTCATCTGAAAAAAGTGAGGCCATGGCACGTCCATTTTCGTGATAACCTAAAAATATTCAAAGAGTGCAAACTTTCACAGCTGATATTCTGTAAACAGTATAATATATTTGAGGTTTATAAAATGGACATTTACAGACATGGACAGATCATAATGGACATTTTCCATAGAAAGCTATTTTTTGCTGGAATCCCTTCAGGATGTGCCCAATATCGATAATCACGATATGCGCCAGTCGTAAACCCTGTGCTAAATTTTTAATTTAACAAAATCTGAAAACAATTAAAAATTTCTCATTTTTTGCTCCTATTTTCGTTTACAATTCGGAAAATATTGATCCTAGAGAAAAAAGTATAAGAAGTTAAAAGTTTCGTTATTCAATTTTACACAATATTTCGTTAGCTATAAATTGAAAATTTAATGTTTATTGTTGAAAAAATAGCAATAATTGGAAAAAAAAAGTACAAAAAATGAAGTTAATCCTTTAAATGTTTTCGAAATTCTAAACTTGACTTACAAGCTCCATATTCCGCCTAGAAAAACTTTTTAATATGTTTAAAACGTGTGGGAAATTTTGTTAAGATCGGACGGATAGGTTTTGCTAATAATTTTGCAATCCAGCCTACTGGAAAAAATCGAAAATTTTCAAATTTATAGTAGGCCTTAAATAAGGCCCTCAGATAGTTGCAATTTTTTTTTACATATATGGAAGGCTCAAACTTTCAAACGCTTTTTGTAAAATTTAAATCGGTTCACTAGGAGAGCCTAGAAATTTTTTTAAAGTTTTAAACATTTTTTATGCTTATAAACAAATTGAATAACTTTACGAGCTTTAAACATATCAATTTCAAAATTTATACACTTAAAGAACATTAAAAGACGCTTCTTTAGAAAAACAAAAGATCCATTCGGCTTACTGTTTTGCGGAGATATTGAAAGTCAAAGTTGGCATACATTTGCCGTGTAACCATAAATAATAATAAATAATTCAGTATAAAGTATCTTACTTGTTGCGGCAGCTACCGGTCCCAGTAAAATAAATATAAATCTAGTCTTCACTGGAACTTCCGTCAATTCTTCCAACATTGCAGCTCTTGAGAGTCGAATGAATGCCAAAATTGGTTTTTCTAGGAACCCTACACCACCTACCAGGATATTGCTTGCTTCGCTCCCTGGTGGAATCTTTTTCATGAATCCTAAATTGAGTTCAACATCGGGAATATCTTCTAAGCTATTGGCTGATGTTATATCTTAAATAAAAAAGTTATTATAGATCTACACAAGTAGAATAAAAAATAAATCAATGAAAAACATCCTCGAATTTAGTATTAAAAACTGTCGAGAAAATGTGAGTTCCAGCAAATGTACGAATACTGGAAGAGGAATTAAATGAATCTATAAATTTTATTAAAGACTCTGGTCCAGATAATATTCCTATTATTTTTCTTAAAAATTTGCCTCAAAATGAAACTGCCTACTTATTAACGATATATATCAAAATATGGCTTGGAGTGTTTCCAAATACTCGGAATGATGTTTACACAATACCTATTCCTAAACCTGGCAAACCCCGTTTAGACCCGAATTCCTACCTTCCAGTAAAGTTATGATGTTCAGTGATCAAAGTACTTGAAAAATTTATTAATCAACGCCTTATCTGGATACTGGAGCATATATTTGTTCTATCTAACAAACAAAGTAGATTTCGTGTAAAGATAGATTACTAATTAAAGCTGCGTAGCCGTATTTTTTGATATATCCAGAGCATTTGATATAGTTTGGGGCAGTGGGATAATTAAAAATTTACAGAAATTAGGTATACAGGTATATATTCGAAAGTTCATCACCTATTAAAAAAACCGAAGCTTATTCATTTATAAAACAAGAATACAAAAAAATTGGTACCCCTCAAGGATCATCGATTAGTGTTACTCTTTCTCTTATTGCCACTAATAATATTATGCAAATGATAGTTCACCAGTGAAGAGTAGGCTATACGCAGATCACCTCATTAATTTAATGTAAAAAAAATAAAAAAATGTATAATGTATCAAATTCCTTGGAATTAATTTTGACAAACATTTAAATTTTAAGGAACATATTATCTGATAAAATCATTCCAACAATATTTGATTATAGTGAAAGTCGTATCTACTCAAAATTCAATCACTCAGTCAATCACTTTTAAAACCGTTGCAAACAATTCAAATTGCTGCTATAAGAATAGAGTTAGCTTATATAAGCTATCTCTATTCTTAGTAAAAAATAATATAATATAATTAAAATTCTGTGTATGTCAAAATCAATTTATATATGTATCATTACTGGGACTTAAAACCGGTTACAAAAGAACAGAAATCATGAACCAATCGAAAAGACGAAAAGGAACTGACATTTACCTAAGTGAAGATTATTCCAAGGAGATACAAGACGAGCGAAAAATACTGAAACAACAATTAAAAGAAGCAAGAGAAAGGGATCAGAAAGACATCGCTAAATTATATTAAGCAATAATGCACGATGTCAGATCATATAGAGGAGCAAACGTGGACACAGACCATTCTCTAGTAATCTCTCCTCAATCCTTTAGCCCTTGTCAGGGCGTAGTGACACCCTAAATATTATTAGTCTGCTGTCTCCATTGACTGCGATCTTGTGCCATATGGACGGCTTCATGTAGGGATTTTCCCACCAAACTCTTCATTTGGTCCACCCATCGTATTGGAGATCTTCCTCTTGGTCTTCGGCCTTCTACCTTACCTTCTACTACCAATAGTTCCATGGTGCCCGTTCTTCTATCTATGTGGCCGAAGTAAGTTAGGTATGCTTGGATTTACTTTTTTTAGTAGCCTGTCTTTTATATGAAGCTCTTCCAGAATTGACAGGTTGGTTCTATGTTCTGTCCAGGACACGCGTAGAATTCTTCTATATACCCACATTTCGAAGGCTTCGATCTTACTCTTATCGATTTTTTTGAGAGTCCATGTTTCAGCTGCATATGTAGCAATGGGAAAAATAAGGGCATTGACCAACCTAAGCTTAGTATTCCTTGTTATTGTTCGGTCTTTCCATATTTTAATTAATTTAGCAGTTGCGGTTCGGGCCATTCCTAGTCTACGTTTGATTTCTGAGGAACAATCACCATTGTTGGTTATCAGAGAGCCCAAGTATACAAATCTGTCGACTACTTCGAAAATCCCTATTTGGCGTATATGCAGTAGATTATTATTTGCTCTGTCTACAATCATTATTTTTGTTTTTCTGGTGTTGATTTGAAGTCCGAATTCTTCACTTATTCGGCTTAGCCGTTCGATGATGGTAATCATTTCGACTTCATTCGCTGCTAGTATAAGTGTGTCATCTGCGTATCGCAGGTTACTGATTTTTCTGCCTCCTATAGTGATTCCTCCATCCCATTCATCTTGTACTTTTCTCATTATATATTCAGAATATATGTTGTACAATAATGGTGATAGTATGCAACCTTGTCTAGTAATCG